GTCACAGGCTTCAGCATCACAGCAACCACGAGTTACCTCTGTACAGCAACGCACAGACCAGTGCTATACCACCTAGAAGAATGTTTGACAGGAAGACAATTTGAACCCGGAAAAGCAGTCCACTCCAAAAGCTTGCCAAGATTCCTGCACTCCCACCACCACGCTCCTGCCTTCTGGCAAGGAGAGCTTCCCACGAGCCTGTGAAGGCGCCAGCCAAAATCAGGAACAACATGGCCACTTCCTTCCCAGATTCCTTCGGCTTAAGGCCGCCTCCTGGTTCAAACCCTAGGCCCAGGCTGGCTAGCCTCACTCCAGGGACAGAGCAAACCTGCACGTCAAACACATTCCCGGAAAAGCAGTCCACTCCAAAAGCTTGCCACGATTCCTGCACTCCCACCACCACCAATTTTAATTTGAAAATTTTCTAAACAATTTAAAAATGGTTTTTAAAAATACCCCCCCACACACATTCTAGTGATTTATGACACCAAAAGCTGTTTTTACACTCTTGCTTAAGCCTTTCTGATACAAAATAGCAATGCTGAAGCTTAGTCAATTTTTTTAAAAAATCTTAAAATACTTTAAAGAGTATAACACTAGTGGGTTTTTTCTTCAATGAATAGAAATATGGAGAGAAACGTATTTCTTGAATAATGAATAAAATCAAACCATAGTAAACATATTTTAAACTTGGAAGGTACATTAGAAGTCCTCCAATCCAAGGTAAAAACAGTTTAATCTTCAGCACTAGTGTCAGCTTCAGTATTTCTAGTGAGGAACTGTATATTCTGGAAGAAAATTAACTTTAAACTAATAATTAAAGAGGTCTTTCTTACTAGGAGGTGAAGTTTGCCTCCTTATTTCTACCACCTGCTGATTCTAGTTATAACCCTCGATGGTATACTGAATAAGCAGTGTATCCTTCCACATGATGATTTTTCAAGTAACTGATATACCTGATGCTCTTCCTATAGACTTTTACTGTGAGAACTCCTAGTAGTATAAGAAAATAGATCTGTTGGTGAATAAAGCCTGTGGGTCCCTTCCATGCTAGTGGTCTTCAAAACAGGGATTAATGCAGCTTGGGAATACCCAAAATTCTTTCTGAGTATATAAAAATTAGGATATTTTAAAAGCAATCAACTTCCACACCTTTAATGGCCATAATTTTATCTGACTGTGGCATTCCTGTTTTGCTTTTATATCTCCACTCATGCAATCTCCCTTCCCAAAAGAGACAAATGGAGAACTCACTTTTGAAGGGAGGAGCCTTTGAAAAGAAAACAAAGAAGGTTTCAAAAAAGAAAGGAGGATTTTCATCCTTTATTTCATCCAGACAATGTATTCATGACAAAGTCCTATGGGCTGATTTAGAATTAGAAATCAATAATAAGATGATTGTCACGGAGATGTCTATTAACATTTTAATTTTATTTGAAAAAACAGATCACATACCCCCCTTACCCCCCATAAAAACTGTCTTCTTTGGCTGATTGGTTTGACAAAAGATATTGGCTTTGACATTTAGGTCACTAGCAGACATTTTCCATTAACTTGAATGAGACAAATATGTGGCTCTACAGTTTTGAAAAAAAAGAAATTAAAAGTTGGATACAGAAAAAAAATTTATATCCTCACAGTGAAAGTTTTTATATCTCAACCTGAAAATGTGAAAGGGAAGGATTTACATAGATTTCAAAATAACTTTAACAGGTTTGTTAGCAAAAACCTTGAAGGTTGTGCTTCTATAATAGTATTTTCAAGCTCTTTCACACTCTGGCTAGTCACTTCTGGAAACTTTCTAGTATGAATTATTATGAAACGTACTATGAATATTCCAGAGAACACATGTAACATACATTATAAGAAGTGCAGGGTTCTGTTCTGAATACTACATACATCTAATTAAGGTAGTCTAATTAGTCCATTTTAGTTGTGGTGTTGGACAAGAGTGTTGAATATCCCATGGGCAGCCACAGTGTTTCTTGCAGGCAAAGATGGTGAAGCTTCGTCTCATCTACTTTGGGCACGTTGCCAAGAGAGGATATTCCTTGGAGAGGGACATCATGCTTGGAAAGGTTGAAAAAAGAGAGGAAGTCTCTGAACAAGATGGATTGATACAGTGTCTGTGGCAATGTGTCAGAGATGATAAGAATGGTGCAGGACAGGAAAGGATTCAGATCTGTTGTGCATAGGGTTGGTATGAGTTGTACTCAACTTGATAGCACTTAACAACAACAACAATCTAGGGAGGTCTTGTGGCTTAGTGGTAGAGAGTTGTGTTGTCAACACAAAAGCAAGCAGTTAGAATCCACCAGATACTTCGTGTGAAAAAGATGGACATTCTCCTCCATGCCTTTTACTGTCTCAGAAAACCCACTGGAGGGTCAGTTCTGACTTGATGATAATAACTGACTTATTAATTAACACAGTTCCATTTGGTGAAGCCCTAGTGGTAGAAAGACTAAGCACTCAGCTGCCAACTAGAAAAGTCAAATCCATCTGTAACTCCATAAGAGTGACTTACAAGAGAGACCTTGAATCTGCTCTCATAAAGATTACAGTTAAGAAAACTCCACAGGGCAGTTCTACTCTGTCACACATAGGGTGGTCACTAAGAGTCAGAATGGACTCGATGACACCTAATGACAACCACAAAGACAACTACAATGTTCTGGTCAAGGTTTTTAAAAGCTGTTGCATAAAACCAACCAAAATTTTACATCTTTTTGACATAAGTAGTCATAATTATATTGCTTTATATTATATATCGATATATAGTTTATATTGATCTTGCACTTATACCTTTTTAAATCTGAATAAAAGAGTTTGTAATGGTCTTAAATTTCATCTTCTCTGTTTCTGATTCTTTGCTGCAAACTTGTATAATAGTTCTGAATTTTGATCTTGATATCCAATGTATCCCTCTGCGGCAGGTACTTCTGAAATGGCTCCCAAAGATCCCTACCTCCTACTATGTAATCCCCTTTCCTTGTGTACAGATCTAGTGAGTTTTTTCCTAATGAAAATAATACAGGCATACCTCAGAGATATCGCAGGTCTAGTTCAAAACCACTACAGTAAAGTGATTATTGTGATAAAATCAATCATATTAATCTTTTGGTTTTCCACTACACAAAAAAGTTACGTTCTCATTATACTGTAGTCTTTTAAGTGTGCAATGTTGTTGTTTGTTGTTATGTGCTGTTAAGCCAGAATTGATTATTAGCGGACTCTCGTGGGTTTTCAGATACTAAATGTCACATGGGAGGACACTGTCCATCTTTCTCCCATGGAGCAGCTGGCGGATTTGAATCATCTGCCTTGGCAGTGCAGCTCCTACCCTACTAGGCCACTTAAGCTCCCTAAGTGTACAATGTTGTTGTTGTTGTTAAGTGCCATCGAGTTGTAAACGACGCATAGCGACCCTATGAACAAAAGTCCTGAACACTTGTATAACTTTTATCATTTCTTGAAGTTCATAGTGTTTCTGGAGGCAAGCTATTTCGGAAGTGGATGCCACTTCTGTTTCAAGCATGTTTTAATCAGGGAGCTCCACCAAACACTGTCCACCATGGGTAATTATTATCACATTTGACACGTCAGTGTCACAGTGTTCAGCATTACAGTAATCACGAGTTACCTCTGTACAGCAAATGGACAGACCAGTGTGCAATAGTGTTATCACAAAGACATGAAATGAGCACACGCTGTTGGAAATGGTGCTAAGAAATTTGCTCAATGCACAGTTTCCTCAAAACCTCAATTTATAAAAAAGGTTTAATCTATTAAGGGTAATGAAGTTCATTGTTAAAGGCAATTAACTGCTAGGTGCAATAAAATGAAGTAGGCCTGTACAGTATAAGGACTTCTTGTCTGCACTTTCTCTTGCCCTCTTGTTTGCTTGATTTGATGAAGTCAGCTGCCATATTGTGAGCTGCTCTAGAAAAGAGGCTCATGTGACAAGAAAACAAGGGGAGGATTCTGGTCAGCAGTGAGAAACTGAGGTCCTCAGCCAAGTAGCCTGTGAGGAACTGAATATTATTAAGTACCATTTTTAAGGTACTTAAGTTCTATTATTAAGTTAGATTTAAGTACCTGGAAGTAGATTAACTCCAAGTTGAGCCTTATAATGACTTCAGTCTTCGCTAATACCTTGATTTCAACATTGTGAGACACTTACAGCCAGTGGACATGGTGGGATTGGGCCCACATTCCTGATGTGAAGACACAGATAATGAATGTGTGTTGATTAAACTTATTAAGTTTTAGGACAATATTTTGTGAAATTAATGCACCTTCCACCCTTTGTGTCTTTGCAAAATTTAGCAAGCGTACCTTTCTATTTTCTAATCAAACTGACCGATTAAAACTTTTAACACTAGGATCATAGAAAACCTTGAAGGATGTCATCCCATAAAGTTTTATATAAATTGCTTTAACACAATCAGCTTTGAAATGAGCCAGTTATATTTAGCTTATATTTCTCCATTTTCTGTAAAAATTCTGTCATAAAACATGTCAAAAGGCTTTTTTTCTTTTTCTCAAGCCGTTTCTTTATTGTATCAAAAGGCTTTTTAAAATCAAGATACATGTTATCTATAGAATCTCTAAGTGTCAATATGGTGATTATGTCAAATAAGAAAGTTGTCATTACTTGTTTTTAGTTGTTAGAGAGGCTTGGTAACATCCCACACTCCTCTTCCCTATAATGTCTATGGTCAGAATTTTTATTCTGGGTCTTCTATTTGTCTAACTTCAATTTTTGGAGCTTCTCTGAAGTGTGCTGAGCATGTGAAAGGAGTTGAATATATATACTCAACCTGTTCTTCCTTTGCCACTGAATTTTCAGATAATTCTTTTTCTTCTTTTTTTATACTTTCTAAAAAAAGTATAAAGTGAGTTATAAACTATTGTTAAATTTTAAAAAGAAAGTGTTAACATAATCTCAGATCTTGCTTTCATCTTTAAGCCTTAGCAAAACAAAATGACACACTCACAATTCAAAAACCATGTAAAGCATTCCATCTGAGCTGTATGTCTCCAATAACTCTACAATGTGTGGATGCTTCAGCATATGACAGATACTAGCTTCCCGCTTTAGATCTGAAAAACAAACATACAACACACTTTGTTAGGTAAGAACAAAAGACAATATGAGTGAATGATGAATGAATGGATGTGATCTATGGTAACATGAAGGCCTCCCTAACTAAGATGAAATCCCCCATTTAACCAAAGCCTAACTCTCTATCCATTCAACAATGAAACTTTTCATATTTTTCCCAGTTTAAATGTACATAGTTATAGCTAAT